TCCGGCCCACAGTTCTTTTTTTAAAAAATTATTTTATTTATCTTTATTTATTTTAATTTGATCCGTAGGGCATAGAGTGAAGGAGAGAGAAAGAGAAGGAAAGTGAGAAAGCAAGCCATTGGGTCTGGGACCTGGACTGTGGTTGGCCACGTGGGATTCCAGCGCCCTTAACCACCACTCCACCTACAAGCCCCTTCATGGTTCTTTTGATAACAAGATATTCTTAAGTTTCATGTACTTAAGTTTATCAATCTTTATATCATCCTTTATGGTTTGTGATGCAGGGTATTACTGCAAGAGGGAGTATGTGCTTACTTGGTTTCCTGATGTACTTCATTTTCCCCACTATGACCTTGTTAACTCTCTTCACATAGAACTGAACTCTACAGCTTGGGGACTGGCCTCAAGACGAATGGACTTCTCTGGAAACACAGTGCTCCACTTAGTGTGAGCACTGCCAAAGCTATTAACTTTGCCAGGATCAAGCCCCAGCTTTCTTCATCCCTTGGATTGTTTCACCTGCACCCCTCTGGGCTACTCTTCTCTAGGGCTGAACTAAAGATGGGGTGGAACTAAAGATGCCAAATGGTGCCCAGGAACATTGCAGCTATGAGGAGGGAAGACCCGAGATGAGCCTGTCTGCTCTGACTATGCACCATCGAGCCAGGCCTACCTGCCCAGTGCCCCTCAGAGCTGATGGTAACTACAGGCCAGCCTAGGAGCTCTCTGGTCCATCCAGGGAAACCAATCAGACTTAACTTTGCTGCCCACCCCCTCTCTTCCAGCTCTGCCCATGTCCTGGCTTTTGCTATCCTATCTCTCTGGATCTTCCTCCCACTTTAGACTTCACGTTGATCTGTGTTTCCCTGACCTTGACACACAGCACTTTGAGAGAGCTTTGGGCACAACTTATGTTTTGCTTCCATCAGCTCCTCTTTGCTCCAAGAAAGGCCCCTTCTCCTGGATCAAGTCCCCATGAGGCTAACCCAGGGATTTAGATACAACTGAAGAGCTAAATTTCCAGGTGCCCCACCTGAGCAATTGTCAGGCCAGAGAGAAGGTAAGTCTTAACATGAGGGACAAAGAGAAGGTGAAATGATGTGAGAGTCAAAAAAGCCAAACAACAAGAGATGGGAAGATGGGTAGGTAGAGTAAAAGGACTTGGGACCCAGAAATGCGTGCATCTGGTAGAGAGCTAGCCGGGGGTGCTGTGCTGACGAGGAGCACAGGCATTGTAGATGAGTATAGATCTACTAAACCTTACGAACTGTGGGACAGGCCGGTTATCTTCACAGAACCCTCCTCTCATCATGCGTAAAGTGGGGCTGATATAATAACTTGCATAACTGCATGAAGATGAAATGATAATAAGTGAACGATGCGTTAGCAAAGGGTATTTGGCACAGAGAAAGTGTTCAGTGTTAATCCATGAATTCAGTGCCAGTGGCCAGGTTCTTTATGGATGTGTTAGCCCAGACCCCAGGTGTCAGCAAACTACAGCCTGTGTGTCAAATGCAGCTTGCTGGCCGTGCAGCCCATGAGCTAAGAATGGTTTTTACATTTGTAAATGGTTGAAAATAATTGGAAAAGTAATATTTCATGATGTGTGGAAATGATATGAACTTCCAAGTTCAGTGTCTATATAAAGTTTTACTGGAACATTATCATGTTCATTTCTTTCAAAATGTCAAATGTCCATCTTATTTTCTGCCTCTTTAAGAAACTTTGTTCATTCCTAGCATAGCACTCCCACCCCAGATTAGGGGCAAATGATGTAGTGAAGTGCACTTTCTCCTCCACTGCAGAGTTCTGTGCATACTGGCTACCCTTCTCTTCCTAGTGGCCCTCTTGGGGTCCTAGAGTAACTTTTGGTCAAGCCAGTCTTACCTGGCCCCGTGTTCTAATGTCTAGATTTTTGTACAATGAGCCTGAGGCACTGCAGACTTACAAGCAGAATCAGGACAAGGGTTTGGTTTGTTTGTTTGTTTGTTTGTTTTTGAGATTACAATGAAGTAAAATGTGCAAACGTACTCTGCAAATGCAAAGGATGTTATTGTTCAGCAAATAAGTGATAATGACAAATTAAATGATAATCAGTGAGGGGTGGATGTATTTTATTCTTCTTTGTATGCTTACTAAGTTGTATTACTAAGTACATATCACTTTTTAAAAATAAGTTATTTTATGAACAATAATGTTTTAATGTCTGACCAGACCAAGTCAATTTTAAACCTAATGGAACCACCCACAAAGCTTGTCAAACCCATCCCCAAATGGAGTTTTGAGTTTCCCTGCCCTATCTGTAGAGAAAATCCTGTCTTATCTCTGCCTCTTCTTTGTTTCCTGTTCACTACCTCTGTTATCCTTTCCAGTCTCTGTTCTTGTGCTTTGGGTGGCTGGAGTAGAGAGTAGGTGAAAGT